TTCGGAAAGAACACTTAACTTGATTTGATGACAGCGTGTTGATAATGGTACACCTTTGGTTTCCATAACACTACGTCCAAGTAAAATTAACAGGAGCCGTATTTGCTCCCGTGTGCCTTTGGTCTAGTATAAACAATGGCTGCCCCCTCACCACTCCCTGACGCCTGGCTTACATTGTCCAGATGTCAATAAGTGATAGAAGGGTCACATTTACTCTACTTTAATATTGATAATTAAGTTAATTTATATGAGATGTTTTTATGATGGTAAAGTCCAAAGACTAATGTATTTAAGAATAATTCCCACCATAATAGGTGGTGAATATAATAGTATGTGGTGATGATATCCCGTTTTCTTTAGACGGTAATTCCACTACAAGTTACGTTTTCTATGGGTTAACTTGTTTATACAACACAGCTATTATTTGTATGATTATTAAATGGTGTCGGATTTTCCGACATAATTCCCCAGGGGCTGCTCACGGGCCGAAGTCCTATTTAGAACAGATGAACACCGATACTCCTCCTTCGAATTATTAGATTAATTTGATGTTAGTAGTTAGTAATCACACATTTGTGCGTCTGTTCGTACAGGACGGATGTCCCGTACTAGAGTTGCAGGGGTTAGAAGTCTAATGCGATTTCATTTCCCTGTCAACTCTTGTAAGGCTAATATTCAAGCCTAATTACATATTATTTAACCCAGAAGACTGAATGTGATCAAGTACTACAGTCAAGTATGATTCAGGGACTGCAGTGAGATCAGTGACATTAGATATAACTTGAAGTTTTTTTCAGGTAACTGGTCATTGATATATAAACACTGAGGCCCATGGAATACATCTTGATTAAATAATAAATGAATCAAATCAGTCATCAGATTTATTGGGGTTTAATTTAGTTAATTGATTCAGAAGATTGAATAGCTCATCATTAAAGTAAAGTATGGTTCTGAGACTGCAGTGGGTTCAGTGATATTGGTCGCAGTGCCTTGTAGCTGTTTAAGCTACTGTTCACTGATTTGCCACTGAGGCCTCATGAACTCATCTTCAGCTTTAAATGATGATACTAACATCAACCTCTGTTGGTATAGTCAGCTGTAATCTCCTTAGTATAATGCTACTGGAGAAATATAATCAGCTGACAAATTTAGATTTCTACTGGTATTGTTTATCTGCAGGCATAGGTCTCCTCAGGCTTAATACTGGGCCTGAGAGTAATTTACCTCCTGCAGAGTTTAACATGGTTATGCCCTGATATTTAGTAGGGCTACCAATGAATCGATGACAATAGTCTGTCCCTACAATGAGACCGAAGTCGCTGAGGTGATCAGACTTAATATTATCTGCCAATTTTATTCCTCTATTTCTCAGGAATTTGGCTGTTGCTCTCAGACCTTGAACTTGTAGTTCTACTGGTATTTTGTCCACCACAATGGCTTGTACTCTACAGACGTACTTGCCTAAACGTACTGATGGTTGTACCACCTGGTAGACTTGAGGTCCTGCATCTGTTACAAACCCTGAGATATTGAATGACATCTGGGCTACAGGCCTTAATTGTAATTCATCTGCCAGCTTTTTAGTGATATATGTTCTCTGGGATCCTTGGTCAAACAACCCACGGGTATGGACCTTGGCCCTCTTATTCAGGATGGTAATTTGGGCAGTAGGCAAAGTCGTATTACCTTTAGACTTTGCCGATTGGACACTCTTTGTTGGTTGCACCTTGCAGTACTGTACTGTGGTGGGAATGCTATCTTCCACCTTGGGTCTTGAATACGTTAATTTCGTATATTTGCACAGTGCTGCATGGTGCCTACCTCTTCTACACCTGTTGCAGGTGTTGAATTGGGTATCACAATAGTCTATGTTGTGTGACTTGAGACACCTTGAACATCTCCCTAATTCCTGGAGTCGCTCAATACGAGTGTCTCTGGTTGGATAATTAGCACAACAGTATGTTGAATGTTTCTTTTTGCAGAACATACATGTCCCCCAGCCTACTGCACGTTTGGAAGTTACCGGTTTGGGGGATGCTGCTGCATTGTCAGATTTTCTGCAACTTGATGTTAGAGTAATTGATTGATGTTTATTTGGGGTAGTTGTTTTACCCTTTAATTGACTATTATTTTCTATTTCTGAAGGCTTGCATGAGGCTTTAACTTCCTCATTTGCTCGTCGTTTGTTTATGATGGAATGTAAACCTTCAGTGATGTCCTGTACTGTCAGGATGGTGTTATGTTGATGTGCATATAATTCATCTAGTATATCGCTGGACAATTTTCGTTGAAGGACTACTTTGGTCATCCATTCACTAGTAGTTATATCAACCTTAAGACTGAATGTTCTTAGTAGTAACTCAAACTCCATGCTGAAGGATTGTAATGAGTCAGCAGTCTGATCAGGTTGAGGTATGTCCAACAATTGTAGTACTAGATGTATGACAGTTTTCTCATTGCCAGCATTATCCATACTAGCTAGTTGGTGAAGCCTTGTGGGGCTTGTACTTGGGCTGCTCATAATACTGAACAAGCACTGATGTTAGCCTAGGGAAAAATTCTGCACTCACTAGGCAATAATCCTACCTCTACTAGAGGTTAGCACTTAAAATTAATACACATTATATATATACAATCATACACACTAATGATTTGAGTGATAAACCAGTGTCACTGGAAGTACCTTTAGGTTAGCTCTTCTATATCACCCTAGGATGGTAGAGACACTAATTAATCACTCAAAGGTGTGATGATCATAAGTAAATTATTATATATACAACTCAACTCGAGTTGATAAAAATTACACCCAAAATAGGGTCTGGACCATTCATTAATGGTGTTAGGTTGTTGAATATATTACAACTGACTATGGTAATAATGGGACTAGGATGAACGATAATAGTTCAACTAGTCAATGTTAATATCCTACCCTGTTGTGGGTTGGCAATTAGTAAATATTATACTGTGATCACTAGTGCAATATATTAAATAATTCTCTATATTGGAGAAATAATATACACAATTATTGATAATAGCCTCTTAATTAGCCTCTATGAAACTTCTAATAGTATCTAGAAGTATTAAATATTATTAGTGACCTCGCGAAATAAACTCCACAAAATTCGTAGATAATCTCTCGCGAAATTTAACACCACGAAATCTGTGAACAATCTCGCGACACAGTCACTAATTTGGCTGGCTTCTATATTAGCGCTGTCATTTCACAGAATAACACACCACCAAATCTGTGGGTGTACATGAAACCGCTGACTAAGGCTGATCTGGGCTGAGGGAGGCTCCTGAGCTCCCTCGAGGCTACGCTGCCGTCTTTGACTGCTGGCTTTGTTTAAATCACACTGCACTAGTTTATTTAATGAATCCACTGGTTAACTGGTTCATCCGGTACTAAGATGACCAAATGTGGGTTCAAAGGATCAAATAATCCGTCATCCGGTTCGAAGATGACCAAATAATGTGGGAACCGACCTGTGAGATTTATATTTATTTAATTTATATTTACGTTAATTTATATACTTCGATAGCAATTTGTATAATGATAAGTGGACTGTATTTCTGCAATAATCTCATAATCTCACAAATCGATCCTCTACACATTAGGGGGGGTTTATATTAATTAAATATATATGCAGCCAATCAAACTACAGTAATAGACTACATACATTGAAGAGGTTCCTTATCTTATAGTACAGCAGGTTAGTCCACCAGGTATAACTAGGGTGTAGGCACCAAATTATCCTCTTTGAGGTAGCTTCCATCACCCAGTAACTGGTGCACAAAGTCTTGCTTCCTCGTCTTGACCTGTCAAAAGGTCGCTAACTGTGAAGCCAGAAACCTAGTATATGACAGGTATTTCAGAGAAAACACTGTACATGGAACAATGAAGACCTGGCTTAATTACCTTTAGTTTGAGGCTACCACGTGCTCTAACTGGGTCACCCTATATAATGACATTAATGGCCACTGATGATAGATAATGGGTTTCGGAAAGAACACTTAACTTGATTTGATGACAGCGTGTTGATAATGGTACACCTTTGGTTTCCATAACACTACGTCCAAGTAAAATTAACAGGAGCCGTATTTGCTCCCGTGTGCCTTTGGTCTAGTATAAACAATGGCTGCCCCCTCACCACTCCCTGACGCCTGGCTTACATTGTCCAGATGTCAATAAGTGATAGAAGGGTCACATTTACTCTACTTTAATATTGATAATTAAGTTAATTTATATGAGATGTTTATATGATGGTAAAGTCCAAAGACTAATGTATTTAAGAATAATTCCCACCATAATAGGTGGTGAATATAATAGTATGTGGTGATGATATCCCGTTTTCTTTAGACGGTAATTCCACTACAAGTTACGTTTTCTATGGGTTAACTTGTTTATACAACACAGCTATTATTTGTATGATTATTAAATGGTGTCGGATTTTCCGACACTGTCTGGAAGAAGAAGTTGTCTGGATTAACTTCCTCCAAATTGTTCAGAATTTTAAGTTTCGATGAGATCAGCCCTGTCATATCTGGTTTGCAATGTTATTAGTCCGGTGGCCCTCTTGTGTTCCTGTTACGGTAGTTGAATTAGTTCTGCAATGATTTTTGTTGCCCGGTGTTAAAGTTTTTCTAATGCAGCTGTCTTTCTGAAGATGATGTTTTCTTGACTGGATACAATAATCCAAGTGAGGGCGCACCAGAGATTAATTCAGTTGAATAATGACCTTCTTTTCCTGAAAGCCAAAAATATGCTTGATTGATTATGCCTGGTACACCATTATAGGGGAACGCTAAGTCTGGCAAGCTTGTCCAGGTCCCAGAAAATCATGGGGAAGGCTGGCCGCACGGGCACCCATTCATTTATTAGTCAGATCCAGCTGAGGTCAACAGAACTGAGGAACACATATGTCAACTATTGTGCCACGTTCGCACCATTCCCTATATGTACAAATTTAATGTTAATTAAAGACTGATGGAATGTGATTATAATTTGTATTATGTTAACATGGCAGGAGACTGCCTCCATTGTGGGCAATGTGTGTGGAGCCGCAGATCCTGACCAGAGAGGGGAGGTCTATGGGCTGAGAGAGACCATCTTGCAACACCCAGGTTTGTGACTGCTGCAGCAGCTGCCGGGCCACCTGATCGTCCTCCGCCCACACCCATACGTCGTTCCCCATCATGATGTGACTCCTTTCCGGCAATGCCAGCAACATCGTTGCCCACACGTCGTATGCTGGGTTGTCCTGGAAAAGGGGCACAGGTATTTATACACATGTATTTGTTATTTCTGCATTTGTACATGTGCACGCATTTGGTGCACATGTACTTGTGAACCCTCATTTGTAAATAACCAATAATTACGACATTTTTCAGTTACAAATCTATTCAGGTGTAATAAATAAATATATAGAACATACTATATAGACAGTATAAATTATATGCTTATATATCTATATAAATAAAAATGGAAATGCTCGTTTGTTCATTATTGCTAATCTCCGAAAGTTCTTCACCGATTGCCTTGAAATTTTCACACAAAGTTCCATTCGCATCCGAGCGGGTTTTTATATACATGCTCTATAGATGTCATGTCTGTGACGGGAAAAAATATTTATTCTTTTCTTTTAAACTGTTTTTCATGTGAGGGAAATCTGTGAAACCTCTTTACCGATTTCTTTAAAATTTTGACACAACGTTGCATTCAAATAGGCGCGTGTTTTTATATACCTAGTATATACATGCCTCACCTGTGACAGGAAATAAAATGTTTATTACAAACAGCTCCATCTGTTGGACATAAGAGCAAAACACTGTAATCTCCAAAAGTGCTTCACTGACTGCCATGAAAGTTTGACATAACGTTTCATTTGAATACGCACGTGTTTTATACCGACTATATAGACGCCACACCTGTGACAGGTAAAAACTTTTTTTTTTTTAAACAGCTTAATTTTTTGCACGTAATAGCAACACACGCCATACTAAATATGTTACGATTCCATTTCAATGTTTCTGAATTCATTGATAAATTTAATTTTAATAGATTTTGATTTATTTTCATATTGATTTAATTATTTTGCTTGACATTGCGGTTGAATTGAGCTGTGTTGTTTACCATATCATTCATTTCATGACTATAGTTTATTTTTTATTTTTTTCATTGTTTTTCATTTCGTTTTTTAACTCTTTTTCTTATGTTTCAGTGATGGGAACATCAGACCATTTGGGAATACATTGAATGAAATGGATAGCTTTATCATTTCATAAGTAAAAAAATAGAAAAATATTGAAATTCAGGAAAACTTGGCTTATTAGGCAAATCGGGCCTTGCATATTAGGCCAAGAACAACATTCTGGCTACTTGGTACATATATATATATATATATATATATATATATATATATATATATATATATATATATATATATATATATATATATATATATATATATATATATATATATATGACAATGTCAGACCACGAAGGAAAAATGAAACAGGAAATTTCCTTAAGTACTTTCGTATATTAAATACATCTTCAGAAGGTCATTTTACAGATCGAGTGATGGGTATAAATAGGCAGGAGAGAGTGGTGAAGTAAGGTGAGGTACAATACTTGGACAACGCAGAAGGCCCATTGGCCCATCAGATGCACCCAATTGGCCCATCCGATGTAGCCCAATGGCCCATCTGATACAGCAGACATACAAGCATAATGCATAGGTAATTATAACATAAAGAGGTAAATATATACAATAAATTAGTGAGACAAATGTTTTTCAATGATTCTACTTAAATCGCCCTTTAGCTGATCTATTAGAAATGGATCTAAGTTATATAGACCACTGCTAATATTCAAATTACTTTCTTTGGTGAGGCCTTGTCAAGGCCTTGAAACTTTTTAATATAGATGTAATGTTTAGCTACGAAAACACTGTTGGTAAGCTATTAGTAAGGAACAGCCCTCGTAGTGATAATTGCGTCATTTATAAAATACCTTGTAAGGAATGTAATAAGTTCTATGTCGGGCAAACATCTAAAGATTTAAAATGTAGAATATCGCAACATAAATACTCTGTAAGACATGGCCAATTATCTAATGCTTTGTTTGTGCATTTGTCAGAAAAAGCTCACCAAATTGATTGGGAGAGTGCGTCTTCAATAACAAATTGTAAAAGCACCTATAACAGAAACATAATTGAATCCGCTTTGATACAGATCACCAAAGAAAGTAATTTGAATATTAGCAGTGGTCTATATAACTTAGATCCATTTCTAATAGATCAGCTAAAGGGCGATTTAAGTAGAATCATTGAAAAACATTTGTCTCACTAATTTATTGTATATATTTACCTCTTTATGTTATAATTACCTATGTATTATGCTTGTATGTCTGCTATATCAGATGGGCCATTGGGCTACATCGGATGGGCCAATTGGGTGCATCTGATGGGCCAATGGGCCTTCTGCGTTGTCCAAGTATTGTACCTCACCTTACTTCACCACTCTCTCCTGCCTATTTATACCCATCACTCGATCTGTAAAATGACCTTCTGAAGATGTATTTAATATACGAAAGTACTTAAGGAAATTTCCTGTTTCATTTTTCCTTCGTGGTCTGACATTGTCACATTCTTAATCACGTGTTTATTTTCGTGATATACACATATATATATATATATATATATATATATATATATATATATATATATATATATATATATATATATATATATATATATATATATATATATATATATATATGTCGTACCTAGTAGCCAGAACGCACTTCTCAGCCTACTATGCAAGGCCCGATTTGCGTAATAAGCCAAGTTTTCATGAATTAATTGTTTTTCGACTACCTAACCTACCTAACCTAACCTAACCTAACTTTTTCGGCTACCTAACCTAACCTAACCTAAAAAGATAGGTTAGGTTAGGTTAGGTAGGGTTGGTTAGGTTTGGTCATATATCTACGTTAATTGTAACTCCAATAAAAACAATTTGACCTCATACATAATGAAATGGGTAGCTTTATCATTTCATAAGAAAAAAATTAGAGAAAACATATTAATTCAGGAAAACTTGGCTTATTAGGCAAATCGGGCCTTGCATAGTAGGCCGAAAAGTGCATTCTGGCTACTAGGTACGACATATATATATATATATATATATATATATATATATATATATATATATATATATATATATATATATATATATATATATATATATATATATGTCGTACCTAGTAGCCAGAAGGCACTTCTCAGCCTACTATGCAAGACCTAATTTGCCTAATAGGCCAAAGTTTTCCTGAATTAATATATTTTCTCAAATTTTTTTCTTATGAAATGATAAAGCTACCCATTTCATTATGTATGAGGTCAATTTTATTTTATTGGAGTTAAAATTAACGTAGATATATGACCGAACCTAACCAACCCTACCTAACCTAACCTAACCTATCTTTATACGTTAGGTAGCTAAAAAAGTTAGGTTAGGTTAGGTTGTCGAAAAAACATTAATTCATGAAAACTTGGCTTATTAGGCAAATCGGGCCTTGCATAGTAGGCCGAGAAGTGTGTTCTCGGTCCGATTTGCCTAATAAGGTCCGATTTGCCTAATAAGCCAAGTTTTCTTGAATTAATATATTTTCTCTAATTTTTTTCTTATGAAAAGATAAAGCTACCCATTTCATTACGTATAAGGTCAATTTTTTTGGGGGGAGTTAAAATTAACGTAGATATATGACCGAACCTAACCAACCCTACCTAACCTAACCTTACCTATCTTTATAGGTTAGGTTAGATTAGGTAGCCGAAAAAGTTAGGTTAGGTTAGGTTAGGTAGGTTTGGTCGTCGAAAAATAATTAATTCATGAAAACTTGGCTTATTAGGCAAATCGGGCCTTGCACAGTAGGCAGAGAAGTGCGTTCTGGCTACTAGGTAAGACATATATATATATATATATATATATATATATATATATATATATATATATATATATATATATATATATATATATATATATATATATATATAAAGGGTAAGGTTTAATACCCTTAATAAGGAAAGGATAAGATTAATAATTCTAACACGAACACTCCTCTTGTACCTGTCTAGGCAGTCATTATTGGCATTGAGGTTCATTCCTATGTTTGTTTCCTTAGTGTAGACTGCAGTGTGGAAGCCTCTGTTCCTCTACGTGACTAAAAAAAGCATCTAAAAAGAGCAGCTTCCCATTATTCTCTACCTCGTAAGTCAAACTTAACACAGAATTCTGCTCGAATGCCTCCTTCAGCTGCTGCAGAAGTCTAATATCAGGTACCTACATAAAAATATTGGCAACATACCTGCAGTATATTTCGGGTGTCAAGTCCATGTCAACAAAGACCCTATTCTCTATGGTACCCATGCAGAAGTTCGCAAACAGGACACCCAGGGGAGAACCTATGGTGACCCTATCTATTTGCTTATACATGTCCCCATCTTGACTCAAGAAGGGTGCCTCTTTAGTGCAGGCTTGGAGTAGCTTTCTTAGTATGCTTTCTGGTATGTCAAGAGGAGTACAATCCGGATCACGATATACTCTGTCCATTATCATCCCGATTGTTTCATCTACAGGTACGTTGGTAAACAGTGACTCTACATCCAGAAGAGGCTCTTATCCCTGTGGCCCGTGTTCCCGGCAGCAAGTCAACGAATTCCTTTGGAGACTTCACGCTGAAAGCACAAGGTACATAAGGAGTCAGCAAGCAGTTGAGTCGCTTAGACTTGGTCTGTATGTGGGTGTGGGTATCTGGCTGATGATTGACCGAAGTGGGTTTCCAGGCTTGTGGGTCTTGACATTCTAATACGCATAACCAGGCTTGTATTTCCCAATAACGCATATAAGCATGATGTGTATAAGTGTAAACAAGTCTTTGTTACGTGTAAACAAGTAGTAAGTGTAAACAAGTCTTAAACAAATAAGTGTAAACAAGTCTTTGAGAATGTAAGAAGCCCTTACCAAAGACCTTTAGGTGTCAGACCAAAATAAAACTGTAAAATGAATTTTGGAGAAATAATTTTTCAGTTACCTTGACAGCGAAGAAAAAAGTAGGAAATATTGAGAAAATTCGTGTTCGAATGATTAACCCTTAAACTGCGCATGGGGTATATATATATATATATATATATATATATATATGTTGTACCTAGTAGCCAGAACTCAGTACTCGGCCTACTCTGCAAGACGCGAT